CAGTGAAAGAAGCAATTTCTGTGGATATTTTTTAGTATCCACTTTATACAGTCTTTTTGCCTTGATGAGAAGTCTAATTTTGTTTCAAGAGGGAGATGTACTTACTGTAACAGTTCCCATTTCCTAAGCCACTACTGTGTTTAGGTCCATAATATTTGGCAGTTTAGGTCCATAATATTCGTTAATCAATCTCAATATTCCTATAAGGGAGGTATTTATTGCTGGGGAAATGGACGCTTAGACAGGTTGTCAGTGGTCCTGACTTTTCAGAAATTAAAGGACTTTTTAATGCTAAAAAGAAAGAAAAGAGAAGTTGAGTCACTTGTTAAAAAGGCTATCACACAGCTGGGAGCTGAAAAGTTGGGTTCCAAAGTGTCTGTTCTTCCCACTACATCTCTGAAGTTATCAGCCCTCCTTTCATTCAAAGGAAAACGAGAGAGGCTTCTTCTGGTTGGCACAGGCAAGAGGCAGCCTGTGTACTGCTTAGTTAAGAAAGACAGCTCTGCTGCCCACTTGGGGTCCCGTTTGCTTGCCCTTCCTTAGCCAGTGCCGTCGGTGCCTGGCTGTCTCCCGAACTGGTTATCTCCCAGACTTGGTTGTTCTTCGACGTTCAAAGTCACGAGGTCAGAGGAAACCATTTCCATTTCCTGAGTGACTGTTGTGCGCCTGAAGGAATGTTTGATGTAGGAATTATTATCCCCATTTCACAGATGAGGAGATGAAGGCTCAAAGGAAGGTGGACTGGCTTGAGGAAGCCAGAGGTCCCAGCTAGTAGGGGAAGGAGTAGGAACTTCGTTTCCTGTTTGCTGACTCTCTTGGTGGTGGTTGGGAAGTGTTGGCAGGGCTTCGTTTTGTCCACAAGATAACCAATCAAAGTATTCTCGGGCTGCAGATCTCAGGCTGTAGAATGCCAGCCAGTGGATCTCGGTGACGTGTGTCCATCAATGGACCTCTTGATTTTGCTGACTTAGGCATTTTCTTTCTTTTTTTTTTCCCTGACAGACAGACACAGTTTTGATCTTCTTTCAGCTGTCAAGGGAGAACAGTGTCTGAGACCAGTGCTGAACCACAAAGAAATTGATTGGTCAGAATTTATTTACAGAGCTGAACTTGTTGTATTTAAGAGACCTTTAAAAAGCGCACATACTATGTGCCTGGCCCTGTTGTAAGCACATTTAAAAAATCTAATTTCATCCTCATGACTAATTTCAATCTGGTCAGGTAGGTGCCATTGTAATTCCCTTTCTACAAGTGAGGAAACAGGCACAGAGATGTTAGGTAACTAGCTTAAGCTCACACAGCTAGAGAGAAGCTGGCTCTTTAGGTTGTGATCTCAACTGCTATGCTGAGCAGTGCTGAAATTGAACTAGGCCCAGGTATTTCTTGGGCAGGAGCAGGGGACAGTGGCTTCTGGGCTGATTTTCCTTTTCCTGAGGACAGGGAGCCACCACTCATGAGTCCCATCATATACTTTGTTCCTGCTCAGATGCTCAAAACCTTCTATTTATCTACCCTAACAGAGTAAAGGAAGAAATTCCTACCCTCCATTATTTTATTTTACTTCTTTAAGGATTTTTTGTGAGTGCCTCTTGGAGTTTGGTAGTATTAGTAACGACAGCTACAGATGCCCCCTCTGATGGGAGCTGCCACCTTCCCACCAAATATCCATTGTCTCCCATTCCTTACTGAGGAAGTCCACGTAAGTTGGAGGTGGCAGTGTGCCCAGGGGAAACACTACATTTACCATCTCTGCCCTGGGCAAATAAGGGTGGCTGTGTGTGAGTTCTGGGGAATGGTACTGCCTGCCGCAAAAACCATTAGATGGGGTTTCCTAGAAAGTTCCTTAACAGCTGAGCCAACTCAACAGGTGATGGTCATTTTCCCTTTAGCCCTTTCTCTCCCCGCTTTTCCTGCCTGGAATGAGGTCAGATGCCCGAGGTGGAATGTGGGCAACTCAGCCTGCCACCTGAAGGTGCGGGAAGCAGAAAGATCAAAGGCACCCAGTACAACATCTCACAGCCAATGCACCACTTCCCGCCAGCCTGTTTTGGACGTCACGTGGGGTGGGACAAGGACATATCGATTTGGTTGAGCACTGTTAGTTGGGTTTTCTGCTCCATGTCCCTGAATCTCTTCTTCTGACCTGCACTGCCCATACTACAGCCACTAGTCACTTGTGGCTAATGAGCACTTGATTTGGGGCAACATTGGTGAAGAACTGGTGGTAATATTATGTAATTTCAACTAATTGAGTTTAAGTTTTAAAATGCAAGCAGTTTAAGGTATTTTTCCTTTAAACACACTTTATAGTTTCAATAGGACCACATTTTACTTTAATGGTTTTGAAAATTTTGCATCTAGACGAGATACACTATAGATGCAAACTACACACTGGATTTCAAAGACTTAGTATAATACAATAAAGAATGTAAAGTATTTCATGGTATTTTAAAACTATTGACTTCATTGTTGCAAATTCTTGAAATACTATTTTGGGTATGTATTAAATAACCTGTCTTATTAAAATGAACCTTACCCATCTCTCTTCACCTTGTTAATACGGCTGCTAGAAAATTTAAAATTATATTTGTGGTTCTATGGATACTCCACCCATTCTGAGCCTATTAAGTGCCAGGCTCTCTGCTAGGCACTTTACATATGTTTATCTCATGAAGATCTTACAAAAATTGTCTGTGGAGAGTGATATTGCCTTCATTTCACAAGTGGGGGGAGCGAAGCCAGAAGAGGCTGCTTTGCAAGAGGCACTCTGCTGTGAGTGGCTCCTTAGCTGGTGACTTCAACTGTTCCATGGTCAAGGGTCACTTACCAAGTAGAGCTGTGCATGGACCACTATGGTTTGTACTCTGAGTCATTGCAATTTGCAGACAAGTTACCAGTATATGTGGCTAGGAAGACCAGAGAGAATTGTTTGCAGGATAAGATTTGCCAGAGGAAACTGGAACTTCCCCATGTACCAGCTACCACCAGAGCTGGATCGAGTCCATCCAGTTTACCGAAGTATACTTTGTCCCCAACTCTCCCCCATTAGCAGCAAGTAAGGGATTTTGAGGCATTATGTATCACCCCAGGATAAGTCCGGGCAGGGTGGTGATGAGGTCGGAGAGTTGTGGGAAGGCTGTGCCGTGCTACACAGAACCCAGAGGATGAAATCCACAGAGGCACTTTGGAAGAACACAGACAGACTACTGACCAAAGTACACTTTTGCTCTGAGAAGAAATGTTTTCTCATGTCATTCAATGTATACGAATTTACAGCTTCAACTTTATGTCTATTTCTCTTCCACAGTCATTTTTTGTTAAGATTATC